CTATATTCATTTCTTACTTCCATCTTCCTCATCAAATATATTATTTTGAGAGTTAGAAATATTTTATTGAGTGCTAAATATTTTGTCATCCATAGAGCTTTAATTCTTCAACACTACTTTGCTCAATTGTGTGAGCTTTCATTCTTGTGTTGTAAACTCAATCTCATTTGAGTGTTGTTCTTAAGACTTGTGTGACTCAAGTCTTGTTGTTGTAAGAAAGTGAGGCTTGTGTGATTCAAGTTCTCAAGTTGTACCGGTTTTTCAAGCACCCGTTGAAGCCTGAAGATTAGTAGGACTTTCGAGAGAGTCTCTCGGAGGACTCGACTAGCCACGAGGTGGTGAAACAGTATAAATCTCGGTCTTCTTCTTTCCCTTACTCTCTTTATTTATTCCTGCGATTTTATTATTTCACACACGCGAAAAACGCACATTCTTGAAAACAACTCTATTCACCCTCCTCTAGAGCTACACATTTATCTAACAGGAAGCTCATGTGTTCCTTCCTTCTTCGCCGAATTGCAGAAAGGAAACCTAGGAATTTTCCGTGAAGGAAAATGGCCGAACGGATGGTCTCTCAAGTTGACGCGTGGAAGGCTGATGTGTCAAAAAATTAAACCTCTTTAAGTGACACATGTCATAATTTTAAGCAATCAACTCTCAAATTTTATATTAAAGGATTTCAAGTTTTATACGGTACTCCACCAGAAGAAATAGTAGCTCCTCATGCTCCGAAGACAAACAAGGGTTTAAATGGGATAATTGGCAGCCTCTTCGTAAAAAAAGTAAGCGTAGCTCTTCGTCGATGAGTACAGGTGGTACAATTCTAAGTTCGTACAAAGAACTTACGATGTACCAAGGTGTCCCATGCGACTACGATGAAGACAACAATAGCGAGTTCAACGTCCTTGAATGGTGGAAACGGAATGAACACATGTTCTCGTCACTCGGAATGCTAGCCAGACAAGTGTTATCTATGCATGTTTCAACCGTAGTTGTGGAACAAGAGTTTAGTTCTAGCGGCGACATTCTAACCGACTACAAAAGTTATCTTAGCGCTAAATTGTTTGAGACATTTCTTTGTAATTAAAATTGGCACTTGGCAAGGCGTCGAGCACAAGAAGCTGACTACGACATTGATACACAAAATTACAAGGATGCAACCACGGAGGGAAGTGGTAGTTCCGAGGAATAACTTTGTATTTTTATAAATTGAAATTACTTTTTTTACTTAGCGATTTATAAGCTCTTTCGAGATTTTCTTTACGGTTCTTTACCTCGTCACCTTTTTTGAACCGTCAGGCTATTCAGAGGGTGTTTCTCTATGTTGGTGCTTATTGGTGTATTGCTGATAAGTAGTTTTTAACTTATAAGCTGCTTATAAGTCAAATATTCTTTTGTCAAAGTAAAATGACTTAAATAATAGATAAGTCATTTGTAAATATTCATAAATGGTGAGGGGCAGTTTTGTAACACCCTAATCCGTCTAGGTCTGCAGCCCCTTTCGGACTAAAGTATTATCTTGGTAATCGTAAAGTTTAAAACATTTCAAACACTTAAAACTTTCTTTCATAATAGTTCATTCAAAATAATAACGGAGTAATTTAATGTTGCGGAAGCTTAATAAAAACATAATACAAACATAATTAATTTATGTCTTTTCAAATAGTATTCCAAATCCAAAACACACATCCACCCGACCATCCCGTCTCATCTGCCTCCAGGAAATCATTGCTTCATTTTTTTGTTTACCTGCGTGTAGCAAATAAAACATACTACACGCTCAGCGTTGAAGCTGAGTAAGCATATCTAATGCGTCGAACATCCATATAAACTGAATTTAAATTCATAATCAAATCATTTGATATCATACACATAATGTTCAGTTCAAATACTCATTAATCATTAGTCAATATTCTTCATTCATTATTTTATTCATATTCAATATTCAATATTCCACAATATCCTTAAACTATTCTTAATCTAATCACTCTAATATTTGTCAACCCTTAAACGAATTCTAGTTTAAATAATTAAACTATATTCCAGTATAAAGTACTTCTAAATAATCCTTAAGCTAGGCCTAATTTAAGATAAAAGAGTTTTGAAAATCTTAAACTTACCTTCACTTAAGGTCAACCAAAAACCGACAGCGTAGTGTTCACTGTTGGGTGGGTGGTACCCCCAAACGAGTAGGTACTCAAGTTTGGTTCTTGGATCCCGTACATACGTTTTAACCCTAGCCACCGGGGTTCATACCCGCAAGGCCTAACTTAAATGGGTATATCTTAGAGGTCTTGTAGATACCTTTTAAATCAACATTATGGGTATATAACTTAGAGGTCTTCTAGATATTCTTAACAATACATATTATTTTCACAATCATCAATATATTCACAATCATTCACAATTATCATTTTTAATCAGGATATTCATCAAGATTTAATCATCATAATCATCAATTAATAATCAATCAACATAATATTCAATAACAATTAGCGGCCTAGCTTCGGGTATTAACACCCTAACTTACCATCATGCATCACATAACATTTTTATTTGTTAAAAACATCGTTTTTATGTCTAGAAATCATATTCATATTGATTATAATTGATTGGTATCAAAAATAGGATTTAATAGTTCAAAAATCGGAATTTGGGAAAAATATTAGGTTCTGGACAGTACCCGTTATGGTACCTCGGTACCGTGTCACGGTACCTTGGTTCCGACCGCCACAAATTAGCCACCGTGAGGAAGGCGGTCGACGGTAGGCTACTACCGTGGGTACGGTAGGTGGCTACCGTGCCGGCGGTACCCTACTACCGTGCTGGCGGTAGCATGGTCCCGTTCTGTGCGTTAACTTTAAACAGTGTCATCTTCAACCTCAGGCCAAGTTTCGGAAATTCCATTTTTAGTCACCAAACTTCAATTAAACTATAAAGAAATATTCTCTAATGTTCATAGATCATTTTGGTAACATTAGTTCGTAGTTTTAACAACAATTTCAAGGTTTATGATTCTTGGTTCTTTAAACATGTCAAACACAAAACTCAACCAAACGACCGTTTATGAACGTAGAAACGATCTATACGAACATTCTAGTCACTAGATATATCTACGGGCTTACCTCGAAGTGAAACGATGATTTTGGAGGAAAAACGGCAAAACTTCTGGCGAACACCACGGCTTGCTCTGGCGACTTCTCATGAAATTGACAGCACCACTGCGTCCTCCACACTCAAGGATATCTCTCAAAACAAATTTGATGAAGAACTGTGAAGAAATGGTGAAGTTGGGTTTCTTATATAGCAAGAGGAAGAGGAAGGAGACATTCTTCCTCGCGTCATTCTCGCTGTGCGTTCGGCGTAGTGGAAGGAGCGGCGATTCCTTCGGAATTTAAACGCAAGTCCCTGATTGGGACTAATTTCGGTCCTAGTCGGGGTATACTTTTTGGTCCAACTTTCTCCGAATTGGAATCCGTTTGCACCGTTGCGATCAGATAGTTAAATTCTATCCAACGATATAACTTTTATATTTATTTGTAATACTTTTTCTGACATCATATTTTTGGGTGGTTGACTTTGATAGAGTAAAAATTGATTTTATTGACCTTTACTCAGAAAGGTTCTTACATTTCATTCATATTATTTATTTTCAGAATTTATTTTAATAAATCATTTCAAAGTTTACATCACAAACAAATTCTTCATTTATTATTGATTTGAGTTTGTACTCAGATTCTCAATCAAGGTCACACAATAAGTCAACATATTGGATTTATCTCTATGAGACTTATCCAGCTTTTGATATTGGATATTAAAACATATTTCATTTCGGCCCAAAGCCCAACAACAATTATTATTATTATTATTATTATTAATCAAAACAATTTGATTAATTGATTATTTATTTATTAATAATTCTAGGGTGTGTTTTGAGGTGTTACTAGTTTTGTAAATAATCTAGTTAAAACAGAGAAATGAAAAAACTAGATTAAAAATTGTTAGACAAGGCGTGCAACTCTAGAGGAGGGGTGAATAGAGTTGTTGAAAATGTTTACCCATTTTCGCAGGATTAATAATATAAACGTAAGTGCAGCGGAAATAAAAGAGAAAAGGCAAAGAACACACCGATGTATACTGGTTTACCACCTCGTGGCTAGTCCAGTTCTCCGAGAGACTCTCTCGAAGCTACCACTACTCCATTAAGCTTACGTGTGCATAACAAACCGTTTACAACTTGAGAACTTGAATCTCACAAGCCTCGACACAATCGCTCGTAGATATGCCCTCTAAAAGACTTTACACCCAAGACTTAAGTCACATAAGTCTTGTACACCAAAAAGAACACTCTTCTTTAACCTCTCAACAATAGCTCTCAAAAGAGTAGGAATGAGAAATGATTAAAGCTCTAATGGATGACAAAACACTCTCTTGAAAACACTTAGTTTTCTCTCAAAATATATCAATTTGAGGAAGAATTGAATGGAGGATTATAACCTCAAGATAGGGGAGTTTAGGAGTGTTTGTTCATAGTACAAATGACCAAGGAAAGGAGTTTATAAAGGGGGTTATGGGAATATGTCCGTCAGAGCTTAGAAAAAAGAGTTTGCTGAATTTTTAACACTAAAAATCGATTTTTATACCCAAATAATCGATTTTTTTGCTTCTGAGTAAAATTCATTCAGCAGATGAAATGATAATCAATTTTTGCCAAAGTGTAAAATTCGATTTTTGAAGCAATTGTGTCCAAACATAAAGTACACAATCATGTGTGCGAGGTGAAGTGCTATTTTGGATTTAAGCACTTGTTTAGGACATGAAAATCATATCAATGGGCTCCCCAATCAACATACATAATTCAAATTCAAAATTTGAATTATGAGAATATATTTTTGGTGTAGAAAAATGAGTCCCAAAAATATTTTGTGTGTCAAATGGTGTACACGAAAAATATTTGAATAAAATATTTTTGCTTACCAAAAGTATTTTCTAATATCAAAATAAATATTTTGATAAATGTTTGACACACCTTTTGTAACTGACTCAATGAATGTATTTTGAACAATTAAAAAGATTTTTCAACCGACTCCAAAAATATATTATTTTTATATTAACTCTCATAAAAATAATTTTGGAGAGAAGATATTTTTGTCATCCTTACAATTATTCCTACGACTCAAATAAATAAAAAGGTCTTCAGAAATCTTCTACTCCTTCGAGTCCTCCGTTAGGCGCTCTGAACGCGTCTCAGACTCCAATAAAATCATGTGCACCTTCTTGAATACGTCAAGGAATGACACTTCAAGTCTTCGTGTTTGTCGTTGTAGCACTTTGATCTTGACTTGAATAAATTGTGTTTGTCAATTATCAAAACCTGTGAGTCAACACTTAACAACACAGAAAGGGTTGAACTCATGCAAATCCAACAAAAATAAGTAGCTAAGCCCTACTTATTTTTTCAGCTTATAAGCACGCACGGACATGTCATTAGTTGATTTATAAGTTAAAAACTACTTATAAGTAGTTTTGACTAGCTTATAAGCACAGAGAAATTTTTAGCTTTTAGTTGTAGTATTCAACTTTCATTATTTAAATAACAACTACATTCTTAGAATTTATAAAAAGCTAAAAATTTCTTTTACATTACATATAATATTATATTATTCATATATTAGATTTAGAAAGAAAAAAAATAAGAATTGAGAACTAGCTAAGAACCAGAACCGCCGATTCCGGGACCGGCTAGGGAACCGGCTTGGCCGACTACGGCTATGGTGCCAGTGAGGGGTGGTGCCGGAACCGGCCCGTGTCTATCCCTTCTTGGGGGTCTTCGTAGTTATGATAAGATTGGTTCATATAGCAATTTCTTTGAAAATGAAGCAAGTGGTGCTCCAGATAAGCTTCACATCATCTTTTCTAGGTGAAACAACTTATAAAGAATTTTAGATTATAGATGCTCAAGTTTTATAAATATTTTTTTTTTCGAAATTTAGAAAACATACTTTATTATAGAGTATTTGTTTGTAATGTATTTTGTGCTTCATGAATTATAACTAGACCTGTCAAAAAATGACCCAACCTGTTTTTGACCCGAAATCCGACATGAAAACACTGGGTTTTGAACAAAGGTTTTGATGACCAAACCCAAAATGACCCGCTAAAAATGGGTCAAACACGACCGAACCAGAACCCGACCTGACCGACCCGTTAAAGTAGGAATTTTTCAAAATCATACACTTTACTACTCGTTTTTAGTATATAAATTTATATTTTCAGATAAAATTTTAATGATATTGCATAATTATCTTACTTTTTTCCAAACTTAAGCATTTTAAATTCCTTATATTGATTTATATATCTAAAAACTACTTCAGAGTTTAAAATAAAATAATTTTATAGATTTAATACATTTTTATGACATTTTAAATTTATTTAATAGAAAATGTAAGTGTTAATGTGAATTTAAAAATTTGAAAAACCAAAGTCATAACCCGTTGGGTCGACCCGAACCCGACGACAATGGGTCATGAACATACAGTTTTCAATCCAAACCCGAATTGACCCGAATCCGAAATAACCCGAACTTAAAGTGACCGAACTCGAACCCGACCTGACCGACCGATTTGCCAGCTCTAATTATAACATAATCCAAAATACTTTTGTCTTTTATAATAATCTACAATAGTTTAGAATTAGTTATATTCCTTAAAATACTCTTTAATTCTTAGAAATATTACATATTACTTCAAACTAAATTTTCTTTCCGTACAACATACGGGTACAAATTTAGTTTAAACAAAAAAGAAAGAAATGTCTTCCTAGTAGAAAAAACACATGCACTAGAAAAAACCCACGGAATACAAGTAGTTCGGCAAACACATACACTAGAAACAATGTACGGAGTAAAAGTATGATGAAGGACTCCAAGGAGGAAAAGAGCAGCAACTCGCATTTTATTTTTCCCGGTAAGCTTCAGCTATTAGATTTGTTTCCTTGTTATTGTTCTATACTTGTTCTTAGTTTAAAGATTGATTTGAGATTGCTTAGTTTCAAAGTTTGAAATTTTAAGATTAATTTTGAAATTAGCTCCTTATTTTTTCCATGGGTTGCTTTTTAATCATTCAATACTAATCCTTAATTGGTTGGGTGTTCTTGAAATAATAGATTAAAATTGGGTCCAAAAAGAATAGATTAAAATTGAAAATTTTCTCCTAATTACTACAGAGTTCATTAGTTGTTTTAATATGAAACTCACTTATGAATATTGAGAATCTGAAATCTTCACAATTACTTTATCTAATTACACCCTTTGTTTCATACATAAACACAGGCATTCTGAGTGTACCCTTTGTTCTTAATTAACATTTCTACAAGTATGTGAGACAGCACAAACACCTAACCCCATGAAAGAAAATTGTTCACTTATTATACCTACATGCACTTATTATTCATTGATCTGATGAAGAAACAAAAAAAAGTGCAATGACTGCCATTTCCATGTAATCAATGAATGTTAACGTCGTAAAGATCCGGTAGAAGTTTTCTGGTGGGAGAAGAACCATCAAGATGATGATGTTCATCCTTTGAAGCGAAAGATTGCGAGGAACCAGACCACGGGGCTCCCACTGAAACACTCCTCTGCAACTGACTAGTGGTGTCCTGAGAATATGTGGACGAAGAATTGGTATGGCTGTCCTGTGACAGTTTCTCCAAGGCTTTAAACCTGGGGTCGCCGTTTGGCTTCCCAGGCCTGATTGCGGGAGCTTGCACAGCCATCTTTCCCTCCAGCATCTTCACCACAGAAGACATGGATGGCCTGAGAGATGGCGATGGGTTGGCGCATAAAAGAGCCAATCTCAGCATTCTCATTGCTTCCTTTTTGGAGTAGTTGGAGCCCAGGCTCTGATCCACAAGTTCTAGTAGATTTCCTTGTTCTTCGAGGACATAGGCCTTCATTTTACAAGCGAAAAAAAGAGGGTATTATTATAGAGAAGAAGTGGTAACATTGGTGGAAAATAAGAAGAAAGACAAAGATCATATACTAGGCTTTTACCCAATCAAGAAGGTACACAAACTCCTCCTTCGGTCTGTAATTTGTGTTGCTTTTCCCGCTAACAATTTCCAATGCAACTATTCCAAAGCTGTAAACATCTGCTTTGTCTGTCAAATATCCTCTCATTGCGTATTCCGGAGCCATATATCCTCTGAAAGATAAGGTCAAAAGAACAAGAGGTTAGGTGTCTCTATTTTTAAAATTGAATGTAAATTTGGAAGAAATTGAAAGACACATTCGATATTTCAACAACAACAAACACAGTAAAATCCAAAAAAACGTGGGGTCTCTGGAGGGTGATGTGTATAGACTACAGAGAACATAGGGAGGTTGTTTACAAGAGACCCCGACTCAAACACATTTAAAGTTAGTAATTTTAGATATTTGTTCAAACTCTTATATATTTCTACAACATAAAACACTGAAATTAAAATGTACGCATTATGCAAAAAGGAGACATACACAGTTCCGGCAATTCGTGTGCTAATGTGGGTATTCTCTTCTTCATCAAGCTTAGCCAAGCCAAAATCTGAAATTTTAGCACTTAGATCTTTATCAAGCAGGACATTGGATGCCTTTATATCTCGATGAACGATCTTCAACCTTGATTCCTCATGAAGGTATGCTAAGCCTTTGGCTATTCCCATGCATATTTTCTTCCTAGTTTCCCAGTCTAGACTCAACCTCTGATCCGGGCGTCCTTATGGTGGAAAGGCGAAGATTTTAGCCAGAAAAAATGAAGGGGATATCACTTAAATAGAGATTTAATGATATTACCAAAAAGGGCTCGAGACAGACAGTTGTTTTCCATGTATTCATATATCAGTAAGAGCTGGTTTCCTTCTATGCAACAACCGTAAAGCTTCACGAGGTTTGGATGTTGCAAAGCTGATATCATTCCTATCTCATTGATAAATTCCCTGTTTCCTTGCTTCGACTTGGAAGATAGTTGCTTGACTGCAACAACTCCACCATCCGAAAGAATACCCTGCAATCAAGTGTGATGTGAAATTCAGTCAATATAAAAGATATAAAATGAACGGTAAGAGCGACAAATGAGTATATATACCTTGTAAACTGGGCCAAATCCTCCTTCACCAATTTTATTAGCTGGGTCAAAGTTATTTGTAGCAGTCTTAACCTGTCTAAGAGTGAAATAACCCGTCTGTAGATCAAGCGTTCTCAGTTCTGTCGTACAAAAACATGGTTAATAGAAGTGTTGAAAAAACCCTAAAAGAGAACATATTTTTTCAATCAATGTAGCTTAAAACACATTACCGTTGTCCTCTTCAACTTTGCCCCCCAAGTACCCTCTCGACCATAGAACAACTAATATTAACAAGACGAACACGCAGCAAGAGATTGTGATGCCAACTATTGCTCCAACACCTAACCCTTTATTGGTTTTGAAGTCTAAAAGAAATAAAACAGTTTTTTTAAATCATAAAATATTGAGAGAAAAGCATAATGTACAAGGAAGCTGAGATGCTATACTAACTTGGAGTGATTGTAATGGCAGAAATCAAGGGACCATATACACTTCTCATAGGAATAGCATTAGTTCCTTTTCCAGTCCAATACAAGTGTATCTCTAAGCTGCTACCATTGACAAGAACATTGTCGAACTCCTTTGTGATTGCAATCCCAGCACCCTTAGCATCTTCCACGATGTTAAAGTCTGTCAAGACCACATTCCCCTACAGAGGAGGTGAAATAAATCAAATAAACACAATTCCCTGAAATTAATCAAACCCTAGGGTCTGTTTGGATTTCCTAATGATGTGAAGAAAGAGCGCTTTGTTTTTTAACTAACTTGGATTGATACATCAAATAGTCGCCTCCCGAGACTGCTATAGGAAGAGCTGTTAGAGAACATTATTTCCGCAAAGTGGAGGCGCACTTTATAACTCCCTTGTCGCATGCAAAACCCGTAATACTTGAGTGAAGTTGGAGCAAGCCGAGCTGTTTTGTAAATATCATGAATGGATGTATACGATAGAGTGTTTGTTGCAAGATATTTGACATCATCATTTGCTATGAACACTCCTGAGCTACTGTAACCCCATCTATCAGATGACGTGTACAAGTAAGACGGGCCTCCTTGGGTTGAGTCTGCTTCATAGGTTTTACCCTCAAATGATACAGCACTCCCTCCTCCACAGTTTATATACAGAGAATCATCTGCATGCAGACAAATTAAATTCCTTATTTCCTTATAAGATGCTTTTGTAAATTATTCCACTAAGTAACTGTTACGATTTTTGCATAGAAAGAGTAGAGTTGGTAGGCGTACATTGAGCTCCTCCTGCACATGGGAGGTCTTTCTTCAAGCACCAATTGCCACTGCAATATTCCAATAATGGGATCAAATCTCTTAGTTTTGGTAAATAAACGTAACAGAATGGAATACAATATACGGACAACAACAACTGCAACAACAGACCCTTCTAAAATCTCACAAAAACGTAGGGTCTGAGGAGGGTGTGTATATGCAGACCTTACCCTTAGTCGAAACTCGAAAGTAGAGAAGTTGTTTCCAAGAGTAGGAAAAATGTATGGATGAAGAATAAAAATGTAACTTACGAGTCACTATTACCAACTGAATAGCTAGAGAGAGTAGAGACTAAGTTCCTGGAAGAAAAAGAAAACAAAGCAATTTAACATGTAATCACATAATGCTTTCAGTTTCGCTCTATAGCAATGGGGTGGAGACTTACAAAGTAGAGGTCTGGCAACCTACTGCAGATGATTCTGTGAAATTGTTGTAGGATAAATCGCTGCAAAAACACTTTAATGTAAAACTGAAAAATGGTGCCCTAATGGTAATAAAAAATTGTGCTCCTACTCACATGGAATCTTTGGTGTCAACCCAACTTGGTATTGCTCCACTTAATATGTTATGTGCCAGAAGCCTAAATCAAAGAAAGAAAAAAAGAGTATATCTATGAAGATGATCAACTACTATTCTAACAAACAATAGTTATAGTAATTCTATAGACCTCTATGAAGTCTTTTACGAAGTAATAAAAAAGGTGGTAAATAATTATGTATGTCTGTCATATCAAGTGAGAGTTGAGAAAAGAAGAAAATAAACATGTTCACATTTATTTGCTTTCCAAAAAGACCAAGAGGTTGATTTTATTGGACCCTTGATTCATCACTTCATTTACTTCCAAAATTTCATAGAAAGTAGGAAGCAAGGAAAGTTTAATGTGTCATTTTGATTATGATTTACCTGAAGCTAAAACACTGTAAAAAGACATCAAAATGAAAAGAATTAAACAAAATTCAATGATGATGACAACAATGATGATAATAAAAACACAACAGCAACTGGCAGCTTAATAAGATGTGTGTTATACTTACAAACTTTTAAAGTTTTTGCTCTGAACATTTGGGATTGGACCACTCAGCATGTTGAAACTAAGATCCCTGCAAATGGATGTATCACTAAGCAAAATTACCATAAAAACCACATGGCTGAAGATGGCCATTTTTGTGTTAGGCACTCAAGCTATTTTGAATTTTGCAAAATGTCTACTTCCCTAACATATATTGTTTTTAAAAGCCTATAATCTTGGTGGCATTTTGCCTCCAAATGTTAGGGAACAATTGCATATGAGTGATGAACATAATATGATCGATTTAAGTTGGTGACATTAAGAAATAAAGTGTGACCTGTCAAGCAGCAAAAGTAAAAAAATTAAACTCTTATTGGAAAGAAACTCACAAAGTTTTTAAATTGGGCATATTTCCTATGTATTCTGGGATTTCGCCAACAATTGAACAATTCCTCAGAACTCTGCATTCAAAGGTGCATTAAAGAATACAGTTCAACAAAGAGAAGAGAAGATTCAGAGTAACAAAAGAAGAAGTATGATTATCCTACTCACAATCTTTCAATATTTTCCATGCCCTGCAAATTTGGGAATTGTCTTTTTTCTCCTCTTAAGCCAGAAATTATCCTGACACAAAAGATCTATGAAATTAAAGTTTCATATTCCTCAGCGAGGTTAGCTCTTTTTGTTCTCGTTTTCCCATTTTCCATATTTAGAGACAGAAAATTCACGTTCACCTTTTCTATTTTCAATATTCAAGAAACAGAAAAGTTGTGCTCACAATATTGTTAGGTTTTTCAATGTAGATATACTTTGAGGAATTGGCCCCCCTAGCAATGTTCCTTGCATGTATCTGCAACCATTTTGATAATAAATTCTCTCGATCAAGATGCCATATAAGAGCTACAACTTTTTTTAACATAAAGGTTATTTATCACCAGTATCCTCAGCATACTTACAAGTTTTCCAAGTTTGTCCAGTTGCCAATAAAGTCAGGAAAATTACCAGATATTGGGTTCCCGTCTATCCTACTGCAGAACAAAAAAAAGGAAAAGAAAAAATTTGTACTTTATAAAATTTAATTCTTGAAATAGAAACTCACATTCTTTAAACTTTCAACACTTACAAGTCTGTCAAGTTCTTAAGCTTGCCAAAAGATTCTGGTATAACCCCACTGACATTGTTGCCAGATATAAGGCTGCAGCAAAGTTATACAAAATGCATAACTAATTAAGTATTTAATACTCCATACATAATGATAACAAACATAAACTTCAATGTGTTTTACTTACAGTCTCCTGAGTCGACTCAAATTTCCAAGACTTTGATCAAGAGGTCCTTGAATCTCATTGTCTTCCAAAACTCTAAGGAATCAACTCATAAATATAATACCACCAATTTCCAGAATGAGATGACCAACACTACAAGTAAAAAGTTATTTACTTACAACTCCTCCAATGTAGATATGTCAGCTATCTCCTTTGGTATCTTTCCACTAATGCGGTTTCCCAAAAGCGACCTATAGTAATGTAGAATGTAAGTAAAACAGGCTGCGGTGAGTAAATAAAACAGAAGAGTATAGAGAGAGAGAGAGAGAGAGAGATTACAAAATAGTGAGATTGCGGAATCGGCCAAAGATAGGGGGAATTGGTCCATTAATGTAATTGCGTGTCAGGTCACTGAAAGGTTTAGTAGCAAAATCAGTAAAAGCAAATGCATGTAGAAGGGAACAAGTCTGTACTAGTTCCACAAAAACAAATGTCAAATTGACCCAAGATTTCCCTTAAGCTTGCCCCGCTCCTAGCACAGACATTCACACACGTTTTAAAAGAGAGACAAATTTATAGGTACTTACATTTGGCGCAGATATGTTAGGTTCACAAACTCTGTGGGGAAAACGCCCTGGAGACTAAGACCTTTCATTACGCTGCATCATTAACAAACTTTAAAAGTTGTAACAATAGAGCTTCAAATAAGGTTTTGATGAGAGATTGGAAGAGAAAGCCATACAAGTCTGTTACATGGCAGAATGTATTGCTACTGATACTGCAATCACATAACACCATCCTAATTCTACTGTTTCTGAAAGGATCATCAGAATCGTTCTTGTTCAGAATTGCCCCACCAGTGCAAGATGTCTGGGTAACATTGGGAAACTTTTTCCCTAATTTTGCAAATATTGTGTTCACAGCTTGCACTGCCACATAATGAATACATAAACTCTAGTCAAATTCAAAAGGATGAACTTAGCACCCAAACAATCTTTAGACTTCAAACTCTAAATTTCAGTTTCAAACTCTAGTTTCAATGATTAGCACTCCTCTAGTCTTCCATTCTCATACTTTATACTACAATCTTCAGACATAAATTACATACTCAGCATTCTAAGTAAGAAATAGTCAAATTGTTTTGAGATCAGTGGTGTATTAAAGGTCCTATACTTTGTCTTCTTTTTTTTGAAATCCTTAGTTAATGTGCATTAAATAGTCATTAGTTAGCTTTTAGTTTTGAACTTAAAGAATATATATATATATATATATATATATATATATATATATCTATATATAAACGGCTTATTCTCAGGCTCACAATATTCTGTCCCCCCTTACTTCATTTTGGTTTCCTCTAATCTATTCTGAGTTTTTGCCTTCAAGAAAATATCCTTTGTTCACTTTTGAGTTGAGGGTCTACTGGAATTCAGAAATGTGGTAGTTGTAGTTAATAGTTATAGGCTAAGTAAAGGTTTTATACTCTAACAAGCTCCTTAACTTTTAAAAGCATAAAAAGTTATCCCATATAGTAAGTTGTTATGCCATTAGCACATTAGCCACTGAGATCTTCGAATTTCAACTTCAATAACATAGACAAAACAAAAAAGAAATATGTAATGGGGGCATCATACTATCATCCATTGATCATTGAAATATTGCCTTGTTTGAATTTAAAGAATAGAGTCAATTTATTTTCTTCCACAATTGAATTCTATTCACCTATTGGAACTCTACATAGATTCTCTTACAGATGCCACGGTTCACGGAAGATACTCTATAGTCTAGAGGGGGCATTTGAAAGGCACACTGACCATAAGAAAACTTGGTAAGCGAAGGAAGATGTAGAATATTAGATAAAATCAAGATAAATCACATGTGCTTTCAAGAGATATTGGCGTGCCACTAGGAGTAAGACACTAAAGTGTAAGAGTATGATAAGAATGCCAAATGAGTGGCGAAGAAGGCAATTGTTGAGGCAAAGAAGAAGGCAATTGCAAGCTACACTTCAATTTTTAGGCCCACTATGCATTCAGGGTCCCAACCCGATCGAGGCATTTGTGGAGGAAAAGAAGGCAATGCATCAAGGGTCTAACAGAAAGAGTCTGTCTCATTATACTGGACTGCATTTCACGCGAATGAACACTTGACGAATATAAAAATATATATAAAATACTGAGTATTCAAAATGAACATTTTGTTGCATAAAAATGAGTATTAGCCGGTTGAACCTAGAGTTGGGTACAACCAAATGCCCTAAATACGAACTTAGCGGAAAATTATATGGTACCACAAGATGTACCTTTCTCTTATTCCATCATGGCAAACTTGTAATTAAAAAAAATGTTTCAGAATAAACATTATGTTGTTGCAAAATGAAAATGTTTCCAAATGTACACTGCGCTATTTTACAATAAACACTATATTGATTCAAAATGAATATTCACTAAGTGTACCTTGCTCTACTTACAGTCAAGTGTTACGGTATACATTCTTATTGGAATGAGATCAGACCACGAGTACCTATACTAATAATACCATACATTTGGTGTTATACCCCTGGATGGCTCCACCTAAACCCAACCTCTCCCAAAATATCCAAAAGCATTTCATCTCTTCTTTTAGACCAAAATAAAGCCTTCCCCATCTATATTAAAGCCTTGGCCGAAGTTAGGATCCAAAGAAGACAAATAAAACTTTAGTTTGTTGTTTTTACCCTCTAAAGTCTTCCATTTAGCCAAATAATGTTTCCAATATTTCTCCTTCCATCATGGATGAAATTTCCACTCCAAAATGACTCATTTTTCAAACAAAACATAGCCAACCAAGAGAGTCACATGTTGGATGAATATACAAGCCAAAAAGCCCCTCTCTTATCCCATGTCATAACCCCATCCTTGTTCCCCATTTTGTTCCCCAACTAGGCTGAACTAACACCTACTATAATCCAAAACACAATGGCCCACACCCACACCAATCAACCCTCTTTTGTTTCCCCCATATACTGCCCAAGAAGTATCTCCAAAACAGCCCATCCTTTCCCTTTTTAAATCCTTTCCCCTTGGCCAGAATTATTCCCCCCCAAAACCCAATCAAATAAGTGAGATACATTCACCTATCCTTACCATTTACTAGTGGCCAAAACACCAACCCCACAAGTACAACTTATCCCTGATTTTCTCCCCACCAAAAGGACAACAACAAGTGGAGGTCATGCTACTGATTTGAGAGAAGGAGATAGGAAGCTTCCTCATGTTCACATTCATTGTATTGTGTATTATTTTCCCCTTCCCCTCTCCCTATATAATGTAGCCTTAGGGCAATGTGCAGGGACAATGGAATCATATTAAAAACCTTTCTCTTTGAGTATTTTTAAAATAGTGTGATGTTATTTTAGGCAAATTCCTAATTCTATATCTTAGGAGTGGTTATCTTAAGTGTGAGTTTTGGGTTCTAGTTATTTGATTGAGTGTGTAATATCTTGATTAAATACTAGAGTTTAACCCCAAGTTAATCTAGAGGTGAGCTTATCCTTTAGTATTAATTTGGCTCCAAATTAAGATAAGAGTGTGTTTATCTCTTATTCCTTATTTGGAATGTATCCCATTCTTTCTAAACCCATCCTTCATCCCTGATTTTCCACTCTTCTTCATAATATCAAAACCCAAAAAGAACTCATTCACATTCCCATATTTTCATCTAGCCCATTTCCCCTTCATTATTCCACAATTCCATCTCCAAAAATAACAACTTGATAATACCCCTGGTTCACCCCTAACATTTGGATGTATGGTGTTTCCCATATATCTACATGAATACACATTTTCGAGTAATTGAATACTCATTTTCGAGCATAACTGAATTTATTAAAAGAGATTTCAGTTACTCGAAAGAGTATTCGGTTGCTTGAAAATGAGTATTCAGTTATTCATAAATGAATCCTCGCTACAATTATACAAGAAACACCGTACAACGTATGTACGATATATATTGCATCAAACCAGATCAGATAAAAAATAACTTTAAATATAACTATAATTAGATCAGATAAGACCCAATCAATGAAGAGACCAAGCTCATAGTCGAGGAAAAAATAGGAAAGTAATTTAATTGTATACTCTGTATCTTACATTAAACCCTGTCCAAAGACAAAAGTCGAATGGAGTAATATACTCGTATCTCATCAAACATAGTGTTAGACAACAATAACAACCCAGTTGAATCTCGCAAAACAAAGTTTCAGATAATTATTATTTTTGTCTCGCAAAAAACGTTTCACGTTTGATTGAACATGGGATTAAAAAAGTGATTCGAATAGTTGATGGTGGTGTAGAACAATATATGAAAGAAATATATGACCTACAAAAACTTTTTCAAAAGTGAAAAGTGTACCTAGTTCAAGTGATTTGATAAATTTGCATGTTATCCTTCATACTTTAAAACTTATGCGTTCCCCCTCCTGATATGATATTCCTATGCCAATGAACCTTTGGGCTTAATACCCATCAAATCTTTGGTGAATAGCTATGGTATCCATGTGGTTTTGGAAATGGGCACCAACGCCCCCTCAATTTTGTTCTTTATCATTTTTTCTCTATTTCTTCTCTTTTTTCATAGTTGTTTAGAAGTTAATTTTTAAAAACTATTGTTTAAAATATTTTAAAAAAATAAAAATTGCTCGGTTTTGAAATATAAAATGAATTTTAAAAAAATTAACATATACTCCGTACTTCATTTAACTCTAATGAAATATTTTTATTTTTTGTCTAAAAAAGATTCATAAATTTTTGATTCAATTGGACGAAAAGAGAGTTTATCGCACCATACCACTTTTCGTTTGGTAAATGTGTATTGTTACCTCACACACTTTCAATGGCTATGTAAACTAAAATAGCATTCAAATCTTAAATAAATAACTCTGGTGTCCCTCCCATAAGAATATTAATGCAATAAATTTTATATATATATATATATATATATATATATATATATATATATATATATATATATATATATATATATATATATATATAACTTTGGTGCCCTTCCCATAAGAATATTAATGCAATAAATTCTGGTGTCCCCAAGTCAAAAATAAAAGGACCCATCAAATAAATTACCCCGGAGTAATAAGGTACAACCCTAATTATCTCACAATGTACTAATGCTAAAAACTCTCAAGCAGTAAAGTTTGGACATAAACTTAGGGAGGCTCAGTTATTTGTGTGTTAGTTTAAATAAGATTGTTTGAAAAAATTAAAAAACCATCAAATTGTAGTATGACGTTAAATTATCATGTAGAGAGTACATCGTTATGTAGTATTTTACAATATTTGACTTTATTTATATAAAACCCTCATTTCGGATTAACTTTTTTAAGTGTCTCTAACTAACATTTTCTAGACCCGACATTGAAGAATTAATTATAGTCCCTCATACTAGTTTATGTGAGAAAATATTGTAGAGGTACTTATATTATTTAAAAATACTTAAATTAGTCCTTGTACCTAAAATTGAAACCATTTTGTCCTTGTAATATACGGAGTATATTTTTGTTCAATCAAGTCTTTCTCTTCACTTGACTCTTATATATTGTACCAAAGTTTTAACTTTGATGACGTGGAATTTTACTATTTTTTACATGGAAATATTCTTTAACATAATAAATCATACATTTAATCTAATTTTAGTAGTTGTATAATAAATAATTTTTTTTCTAAGAAAGTAATTGTATAATAAATAATTTTAAGAAAATAAATAAAAAAAATTGTTCTCTTTATAGTAATTTTTTTTAAAAAATATGATTTAACATTTTAATACAACAGTTTTATGTTATCTATCGTAAAATTTGACATTATTAAAAATTTAAGGTAATATATACAGTGATTTCAAAGCTACTTTGTATGAGATTGAAGGAAGTCATGCCCCA